TTTTGATTGTTGTAGACAATGTATGATGATTAGGCAAACTAAAACTAATCAATTAGATATGTCATAGAGTATGACGGTTGGTAGAATACATTAACGTTATGTATTGATTAATTGTGTATATGACCTTTGTGTATATACATTGTGTGTGTGGGAGGAGATAGGGGATGTACTCCACGGTTTAGGGGAAGATAGGGGATGGACCTCTAAACCGGATGTTGTTTGGGAGGAGACAGGGGATGGACTCCACTGATACAGCTCATATGCTTGTCAGTTAAAGTGTTGATACAACTCATATGCTTATCTATGGAAGTGATGATACAGCTCATATGCTTATCTTTGGAAGTGTTGATATAGCTAATATGCATATCTGTTGAAATGTGGATACGAACTTGTATGCTATCTTTTGAATGTTGATACAACTAATATGCTTATATCTATTGTAAAATGGGAAAACGTTTAATATGAGTCACTGCCTCATATAAGTGGTTGGCCAGGTTCTGAGCCCGTTGAAGTAAATTGTGAAATTGATAAGAAATGAAATTGAAATGAAACATGAACATAGTGGTCATGAATGGAAATGGGTTATGAATTGATTTATAGAAATTGAAACATTTATCAATGCTAATGTCTAGTTATTGCTCATACTGTGTTTAGCATATTTCTATTTGGGCGTTGGCTCACCTATATGAGAACATTATTTTCAGGTACAGGTAGTATGCCAACCTCCAAGGACATAGCTGGTGATGATTGAGAGTTTGAAGACTCTTTTTGTTTATTTGTTTATATTACTGTATGTCAAGCCAGGGCTTATTTTGTATAGAGTTAGTAACTCTTCTTTTGTGTAACCAGGTGTTGACTTGGAAAGCTGTAAGCCCATAGGGCATTTGCTTTTGTTGTTAACATGTAATCAGTTGTAAGAATTACTCTGATGAATAGAAATGGTTGGTTTTCTTTTATATCAATGCATGTCTAAAGTTGATGGGTTTTATGTATTTTTTTTTGAGGCGTTACAATGAGCTAGTTATGATTTAAATTATGGAACGTATGATCTTTTGTAATACATATTCTATTGATTTGTACCTTATGAAAAGTTGAGAAAGGAACCCTAAGAAAGATGGTTAGTAATTGGTACAAGAATATTAAGAAGATAAAGAAAAAGTTTTCTTTGTGGAGTTTGTGGATTTTTATTTTGGAAAGGTATTACCTAATATATTGTATTTGAATACAAATGGCACATTATTTATGTATCATTCCGTAGCATGCATGATCACATATATCTGTATACTTATTGTTGTGAATCATTGGAGATTCCTACTGGGCATCATTTGTTTATCCCACGTTGTTTTTACCATTATCAGGAAAAGGATACAAGAACATCGTTCGAGCTTCAGAACTCTATTGATCTTTTGCGTGTATTTTTATCTAGTGTATAAAGGAATGTACATTATGATTTGGACATATGTAATTATTTATTGTAGCGCTTCATTGGGTGCTTGGCAATGTATTATATTATGCTCATCGAGAGGAACAATATTTCTATTACACAAGTGATAAACTATTTGTAGTTATAATGTACAGAATAAATAGATCTTAACTCAAGTTTTTCGGTAAAGATTTTGAGTAATAAAAATTGGGTTGTGACAACTTGGTATTAGAGCTACCGGGTTTGAAAACCTAGAGCTCGTGGGAAGTGGTTTTAACCACAATAGGTTGGCTTCGCTTGGTGAGACATTTGCATATAGGAAATATGATGTGTGAGAGATTATGTGTTTATTTGTGTGAGCATGAGTTAGTTTTAGGGATAGTGCTCGTGGCTGCTAACTGCTTTGAGATCTCATTGGAAACGCGTCTGATCAACGTGGTTTCTAGTGAAGTTTCCTTGAAAGTTCGGGGACAAATGGCTATCCTTGTAAACTTGACTTGATTATGTGACTTGATGCTTACAATTGTTTATGTGTTATGTGATTATATGTTAAGTTGGTTTGATGTCTTTGTGGGAAGAGTAAGGCTGTGTTTGGAAAGAATTTTCAAACTATAATTCTTACTCACACATTCTAATATATTGGATAGGTTTTCAAACTATATTTCCACATACAAACACGAACCTCTGTAGAAAAATCTGTGTCAGGGAGGATTTAAATTTATTTTTTTTTTTTGAAATTTGGCCTAATCGATCGTCCACTGACGTCCACATGGTCGTCTAGCCGTTGATTTGGAACAGTGCAAATTTTTTTTTTTTTTTTTTTTTTTTTGCAATTGACACATGTTAATTTTTATATATTCAAAAAAAATATTTTTTTGAATTTTTAAATTTTTTTTATGAGCTTTAATAGAATTTTGAGTTGTGTATTTGATTATGAATTGTAAGTTTTTGTATCAAATATCATATGTCACATCAAAAATCCCCAACTCAATTCAAAACTCATTTCAAAACTCATTCACTAAACAAATTTTTCACACTCAAATCATAATTCCAAAACTCACAAACTCAAAATACAACTCCTATTCTCAAATCATATTTAGAAAACTTTAATAAACGTTACCTAAGTGTTTTGAAAAAAGACTAGAATTCTGTTGACTTATGCTTGATGTTGTCATTGATAGGATGTCAGGGCGAGCTAGTAGAGGTTGTGTTGGGACTAGGAGTACTGGTGGAGGTACAACAGTTCCAGTGGTAACCGCACTTGTAGCACTGTCTCTAGGAGAAGAGATTGCACGTGAGATCGTAAGAGCAGACTTTAACTCGCAATGAGGAGACGAGTCTCGGGCCCTCAAGATCACTAAGTTGTTCTTTTGCTTTAACCTATCGGAGTTCATAAGAGGGTCAGAATCATTAGAGGTAGCGAATTGGTTAGAACAGATCACCAAAACTCTTGATATGCTCAGAGTTACAGATGAGGGGTGGAGAGTGACATTAGCGAGTTTGCTATTGAGATGCAACCATGGTTGTCAATCTTGTATTGTACTGGCCGGCATCGGGCGGTACGTACCATACTATAGAAAAAATGGAATACAAATAGGCCAATATTGTTTCGATTAATTTCTCAGTAAGTACTCACTAATTTTGTAAATACTAAATAATATTGGCCAAAAAATGTAATTCTGGTGAAATTGAAAGATACGAAAGCAAAAATGAATTTCTGAATTTTTGGTTTTATTATATATATAGATTATGTCAAATATATTATATGATATACGTTGTTGCCTTGAATAATATAATTTTGGATGGTTAAATTATATACTACTCTACAATATTTTTGATACATGCATAATACTTTTAGATTAAATTTGAAATGATATCCAAAAATATATTGGTAACAATAGGTAGCATGCGAATTGAAAAAATAATATTTTATCCAGTACGAAATTAATAACTTTAGATGTAACTATAAGAAAAGTATAACTTTCGATATAACCACGAGAAAAATCCATCTTTCGAAGAATTTTACAATACGTGTAACATATTATATGAATTCATTAATTACATCATTTTCTTATTTAGTTTTGATTAATTTATTACATCATTTTCTTATTTAGTTTTGATTAATTTTTTTTTAATTATGATAATATAATATTTAATTGGAAAATGTTTAGTAATTTAAAATTTTATGGCTCAAATAGCTCAAATTTGTCAAAACGGCGTCGTTTTACACTCATTTACACTCCATTTGAATCATAAAATTTTGAACTACCTAACATTATTGTATTTAATTATGATTTTTTTTAATTATAACTTAAAAAATATAAAATTAAACAATTTTTTTTTTCCCTTTAACTATAAAGTACTCTACATGAATAAAGCTTGGCGGCTCAAGTTTTTTTCCCTTTAACTATAAATTGGGGGTGTTTGGGAAGAAAAAAAATAACTTAGTATAGGTTAAAAATCACAAAAAAATAAAATAGGCTAAAATAGTTAATAAGACAAAATATCACATCAAACCCATAATCATTTCATTTTTTCTCTCACAAACATCACATCCAATAAAAAAAAACTCAATCATCTTTCCAAACACAAAAATTTTAACCTACTAAAATAACCAAAAATTAAAATAACCTATTAAAATAGACACTTCCCAAATGAGGCTAAATTATTCTACATGAATTGGTAGCTCGAGTTTGTTGTGATGGTCCCGAATTGCAAAACGACGTGGTACAAAAGAGGGTTTTTTTTTTTTTTTTTTTTTTCCTTCTTCTTTTCCCTTTATATCTGAAACAGGGAAGGGAGGAAGAGAGAGAGAGTAAGAGAAAGAGAGGAGAGGAGAGAAGAGAGAGAGAGGGAGGGCGAGCACAGTGAGAGAGAGAGAGCTGGTGATGGCGATGGCGATGGCGATGGCGACGGCGACGGTGCGAGACGGTGATGGGCGACGGTGCGACGATGTAGATCTGTGTTTGGTTTTTTTTTTTTATTTTTTTATTTTGATTTTGAAAATCTGTGTTTGATGATGATGATGTTGTGTGTTGTGGTAGATCTGTGTTTGTTTGTTTTTTTTATTTATTATTTTGATTTGGAAAATCTGTGTTTGATGATGATGATGATGATGTGTGTTGTTGATGATGATCTGTGATTGGTCCCCTGCTCCATCTCTTCTTCTTCCTTCTTCTTCTTATTTCTTCTTCATCCTCTCTGTTTCAGAACAGAGAAAAGAAAAAAAAAAAAGAAAAAAATTCTAAAACGGAACTGTTTGTACTAACTTGTTAACCAACTTTCTGGCTAAGCACACATCAAGAAAGAGGGAGAACACCGACTCAAAAACAAAAGAAAGGGAGATGAAGTTGACCTGGAAAAACCAGAACAAGAAACACAAACGCCCGCTCCACGACGATGTAGATCTGTGTTTGGTTTTTTTTTTTTCACAAACGCCCGCTCCACGACGATGTAGATCTGTGTTTTTTTTTTTTTTTTTTTTTTGATTTTGAAAATCTGTGTTTGATGATGATGATGTGTGTTGTGGTAGATCTGTGTTTGTTTGTTTGTTTGTTTTTTTTATTATTTTGATTTTGATAATCTGTGTATGATGATGATGATGTTGTGTGTTCTTGGTGATGATCTGTGATTGGTCCCCTGCTCCATTTCTTCTTCTTCTTCTTCTTCCTCTCTGTTTCAGAACAGAGAAAAGAAGAAAAAAAAAAAAATTCTAAAACGAAACTGTTTGTACTAACTTGTTAACCAACTTTCTAGCTAAGCACACATCAAGAAAGAGGGAGAACACCGACTCAAAAACAAAAGAAAGGAAGATGAAGTTGACCTGGAAAAACCAGAACAAGAAACACAAACGCCCGCTCCTCTCCATTTCAACCCTCCCTTTCGATCAAAACGATGATCGCATCATCAGCAACAGCGAAGACCGAACAAGATCTGATAATGATACAGACCATAACATCGAACAAGCTCAAGCCCACCATCACAACGACACCGAACTCGCAGAAGCCTTTCACGCACAAGGAAACAAACTCGCTGAGGTAAATTCCAAATCTTTTTTTATTTTATTTTTCCTTATATGGGTTGTTTCTTTATATGCCCTAATTCTTTAATAGCAACTGTTACTGGTTCTGTTAATATGTGCTTTTTGTTATTGTTTAGATAATTTTGTTTTTAGTTTATAGTACATATGCAAGTTACAAAATTCTGAAGTGGGTATGTGGAATTATTGATTTGCTGAAATTATTAGACTGTTTGTAATTTGGGGTTATGAAGATGAACTCTGTTGTTAATTATCGGCTATGTTATAAATCATGGAAAATATATTTGGAATTGGGGCATATGTTTATACATCCAGTTTGTTTCTAAAATTTGGCTATGTGTGGAGGGAGTTCAAAGTTTGCCCAATAATCAAAATACTTTTGGATATCCACTGCTACCCTAAATATAGTCTTTGAGCACAAATGATTTGAGATATGGGTTGGGAGGCTTGGAAATTTGAGTATCTGGAGATGTTTGAAATTTGAGAATTCAGTAGAAAAAAAAAAAAAGGGTTTCGGCTAGAAAAACTTCAGCTTATAGAGTGGGAATTTGTTTTCTGTTTGAATATTGAAGATTGTTAGGTAATAACTAAGCTCTGGGCCATAAGTGGATTTTGATAAATTGATTCATCCAACTTATCCACTCTCAGTTAGTTCATATAAGGGATATATGTTTTCACTCAATAAAGTGGGTGAAATATGGGTTTACAGTCAATAGTAGGTCTCAAGTGGTAGATTAATGGGATTTTATGATTTTTTTAGTAACTAGTTCTTTAATTATTGTTGTGTCCCTGTTTTGGTTACTAAAAAAAAATATAAATACTTATGTTGAAGCCTGCCCTTGTTCATCACTTCACTCCAAACTATCATTTTGTCTCTATGAAATTTAAGATATTGAAGGATTTTTGTGATAGAACTTGCCTACCAGTAAGGATTTTTAGTCTGAGATTTCTCAATACAACCAGCCATCTGATGGGGTAAAATAGCTGTTATATCATTATAAAGAAATATGGGCTTGTTTTAAGTTTCGGATAATGAACCTCAGAGGAGTTTGAAAATGTGAACCTCAGAGGGTTCCTTCACACTAAATGCATGTGAAAAGATGACTATTCTACTCTCCTGCAAGTTGCTTCAATTTCATTACAAACATCACTCTTTCTATAATTGTTCTCTACCACAAAACCCATAAAGCTTTAGCTTTACTATCCCACAGTTCCATATGAAAGAATTCCTTTGCCAGTTCCATTACAAATCCAAAGTTCCAACAAAGAGGGAATATTAGATGGGGAAGCAGTCTTGTAATTAGTTCCAATCCATTTCCTGTGACCATTGATGCTCCTTGCAAAAATGCTCTCAAACTGGAATTGACACTACTTTAGACCTGAATGAGCTGCAAATTGTATTCTTATCTTTTGCAATTCAACAATAAAAACATATAAAGGCAAAGAAAGAAAGGAAAAGGAGAAACTAAAAAAAGGGATAGAAACCGTGTTAAAATAACATAATTTCAATGTAAAGATCAGAACTCAGACCTGAACTAGAAGAATTTTACTATATATCCTAGTGAGAGAGTACTTGTTCCAAGTTTAAAAGTTTATCAACTTAAGGTTTGCAGAAGAATGGAAAAAGGAAACAAAAGCAGTGGAATAATGTGTCTTAGGTTGGGAAATTATTTTTTTCTTCTTCTTCTTCTTCTTATTTCTTCTTCATCCTCTCTGTTTCAGAACAGAGAAAAGAAGAAAAAAAAAAAAATTCTAAAACGAAACTGTTTGTACTAACTTGTTAACCAACTTTCTAGCTAAGCACACATCAAGAAAGAGGGAGAACACCGACTCAAAAACAAAAGAAAGGAAGATGAAGTTGACCTGGAAAAACCAGGACAAGAAACACAAACGCCCGCTCCTCTCCATTTCAACCCTCCCTTTCGATCAAAACGATGATCACATCACCAACAACAGCGAAGACCGACCAAGGTCTGATAATGATACAGACCATAACACCGAGCAAGCTCAAACCTATCATCACAACGACACCAAACTCGCCGAAGCCTTTCACGCACAGGGAAACAAACTCGCTGAGGTAAATTCCAAATCTTTTTTATTTTTCCTTCTATGGGTTGTTTCTTTATATGCCCTAATTCTTTAATAGCAACTGTTACTGGTTCTGTTAATATGTGCTTTTTGTTATTGTTTAGATAATTTTGTTTTTAGTTTATAGTACATATGCAAGTTACAAAATTCTGAAGTGGGTATGTGGAATTATTGATTTGCTGAAATTATTAGACTGTTTGTAATTTGGGGTTATGAAGGTGAACTCTGTTGTTAATTATCGGCTATGTTATAAATCATGGAAAATATATTTGGAATTGGGGCATATGTTTATACATCCAGTTTGTTTCCAAAATTTGGCTATGTGTGGAGGGAGTTCAAAGTTTGCCCAATAATCAAAATACTTTTGGATATCCACTGCTACCCTAAATATAGTCTTTGAGCACAAATGATTTGAGATATGGGTTGGGAGGCTTGGAAATTTGAGTATCTGGAGATGTTTGAAATTTGAGAATTCAGTAGAAAAAAAAAAAAAGGGTTTCGGCTAGAAAAACTTCAGCTTATAGAGTGGGAATTTGTTTTCTGTTTGAATATTGAAGATTGTTAGGTAATAACTAAGCTCTGGGCCATAAGTGGATTTTGATAAATTGATTCATCCAACTTATCCACTCTCAGTTAGTTCATATAAGGGATATATGTTTTCACTCAATAAAGTGGGTGAAATATGGGTTTACAGTCTATAGTAGGTCTCAAGTGGTAGATTAATGAGATTTTATGATTTTTTTAGTAACTAGTTCTTTAATTATTGTTGTGTCCCTGTTTTGGTTACTAAAAAAAATATAAATACTTATGTTGAAGCCTGCCCTTGTTCATCACTTCACCCCAAACTATCATTTTGTCTCTATGAAATTTAAGATATTGAAGGATTTTTGTGATAGAACTTGCCTACCAGTAAGGATTTTTAGTCTGAGATTTCTCAATACAACCAGCCATCTGATGGGGTAAAATAGCTATTATATCATTATAAAGAAATATGGGCTTGTTTGAAGTTTCGGATAATGAACCTCAGAGGAGTTTGAAAATGTGAACCTCAGAGGGTTCCTTCACACTAAATGCATGTGAAAAGATGACTATTCTACTCTCCTGCAAGTTGCTTCAAATCCATTACAAACATCACTCTTTCTATAACTTTTTTCTACCCCAAAACCGATAAAGCTTCAGCTTTACTATCCCACAGTTCCATATGAAAGAATTCCTTCATCAGTTCCATTACAAAATCCAAAGTTCCAACAAAGAGGGAATATTAGATGGGGAAGCAGTCTTGTAATTAGTTCCAATCCATTTCCTGTGACCATTGATGCTCCTTGCAAAAATGCTCTCGAACTGGAAATGACACTACCTTAGACCTGAATGAGCTGCAAATTGTGTTCTTATCTTTTGCAATTCAACAATAAAAACATATAAAGGCAAAGAAAGAAAGGAAAATGAGAAACTGAAAAAAGGGTTAGAAACTGTGTTAAAATAACATAATTTCAATGTAAAGATCAGAACTCAGACCTGAACTAGAAGAATTTTACTATATATCCTAGTGAGGGAGTACTTTGTTCCAAGTTTAAAAGTTTATCAACTTAAGGTTTGCAGAAGAATGGAAAAAGGAAACAAAAGCAGTGGAATAATGTGTCTTAGGTTGGGGAAATTGTTTTATAACAAAGGGATATTTTTCATCAAGTTGTAAACCTTTGTACACATTTTATTTTAGAGTCTAAAAGCCACTACATTGTCAAATCATTAGAATTTTTCTGCATCTTCAACAATGTTCTAGTTATAAATATGATCCTTGATAGAGTTGAAAGTGCAAATAGGATTTTTATAGCTGACTGAAATAGATGGGAAAGTAATACTTCAAATTGTGTTTTTGGTGAAATTCTTGTGCAATGGAGGTAGCTGATAAAAGAAAAATAAATGAAAAAATCTTATACGATGGAGTTACAATTAGTGTGTATTTTCTCTCATTTTTTAGTTTTCTTACTGTATCTGTGTGTGTTCTTCTCCCCCGTCAATGACAAGAATTGATTCCCAGACTGACCAACCCCTATAGTTGCTTTTGTACTTCCGTGCTGCAACATTTGCAATTCATGGATTTTAAAACTGAATGAAATATATGGATTGAAGTTTCCTAAAGTTATGGAAACAGTGTTTACAATTCTGCATCTTCAACAATGTTCTAGTTATAAATATGATCCTTGATAGAGTTGAAAGTGCAAATAGGATTTTTATAGCTGACTGAAATAGATGGGAAAGTAATACTTCAAATTGTGTTTTTGGTGAAATTCTTGTGCAATGGAGGTAGCTGATAAAAGAAAAATAAATGAAAAAATCTTATACGATGGAGTTACAATTAGTGTGTATTTTCTCTCATTTTTTAGTTTTCTTACTGTATCTGTGTGTGTTCTTCTCCCCCGTCAATGACAAGAATTGATTCCCAGACTGACCAACCCCTATAGTTGCTTTTGTACTTCCGTGCTGCAACATTTGCAATTCATGGATTTTAAAACTGAATGAAATATATAGATTGAAGTTTCCTAAAGTTATGGAAACAGTATTTACAATGCAATGCTTCATATTCACTCCAACTTGATCCATTACTGTTGTAGAGAAGTTTTATTGCCATGGGGTCCAGACTTTGTTTGGCAGCCCATTCCTCCATTTATAAAATATGAGATTGGAGAAATTAACCTGTTGCAAGACAATTATGGTTGGTTTTCTTCCTTGGCTCAACAGTGCTCCGTTTTTGCAACCTGTGTTCATGACCTGGTGTGGTATATTCTTGAGCCAGTTGAATTTCTTGTAGTTGTCTGAAAACAACATCCTCAGGTGCAAAGTCATTCCTTTCAAATGCTTGAAAATTCAAAGGGAGACATTCATACATATTTATTTGCTACATGACCATTTGCAAAATGTAGTTCTATATATCTGTCATGTATTTTCCATTCCATTTTTTCCTTGCTTGTTCTGATAACTCTTTGCCACTTTCATTTTTCGAGGATAGAAGATACCATGAAGGAGGTACCATGAAGCTCTTGGGAAGTGGGAAGCTGCTATTACTTTGATGCCAGAAAGAGCAGTTTTACATCAGCAGAAGGCTCAAGTTTTACTTGAAATTGGAGAAGCATGGAATGCTTTGAAGGCGGCAACTCGTGAGTCCCAGTTCTTTATTTTCTTGTACAACTGTAGACTTCTTTTATTACGCTGAATAATGCAGTTATTAATGGCTCATCACTTGGTTGTTAGCTTATCATTTAGAAGCTTACTACTTCAGAAATTATTTTGCAGCTGGACCCAAATAAAATTTTGATGTCTTCTTCAATCTTCAGATTTGGTTCCCTGTTCAAATGGCAAATATTTTCAGATTTTCTTTGCTTGTAGAAATCATTTTAGCTCTGTATTGTTATTGGAGTTCAAATTTTGTTTTTTGTGTAATGATTTATTTTCCATATATATTACCCAAGTAGACATTGTATTCATGAGTTCCAATTATTTGACAGGAGCTACTGAATTGGAGCCATCATGGGCTGAGGTTTGTTAATACTTTATTATTTGGATGTGCTTTTTACTCCATGGTTACCATTCATATATGAAATACTAAGCCCTTGCTATTTCACCTTTTACTTTTCTGTCATCATAGAAGTGGATATAAATGTATATCCAGCGCTTTTTTATGCCACAAAGTTGTAATTGGGCGTTGTTTGACAAGTACTTACAAAAATTGGCTTCCCAACTCTTGATTTTTTAAAATAATTTTAAACTATAATATTTGTATTTAATTATTTATTATTTTTATAGATTGTTGTTGGGCAATGGTATCTGTTGCCACTATTGAATCAGTCTATAATATATAGAATCGACCTACAGAATTATTCAGTGAGTTTGGTTTGAGTTTTTTGGATTAAGTTTTTTGAAAACTGAATTTTTTGGTTTTCGTATTCATTTGGTTTTAGTGAATATTTTTTAAATTTTAAACTTTTTTTTTTTACTTTTTTAGATGCACCTTAGATTTATCTAAAAAGTAAAAAATTTGTGAAAAAATATTTTAAAAAATTAATAAATACATAAAAATATAAAAAATATACTGAATTCTTGTATTTTTTTTGTATTTTTGGTATTTAGTGAATTTTTAAAATATTTTTTTTTACAATTTACTTTTTAGGTATATTTATGTTAGGTGTGTTTAAAAAGTAAAAAAGTTGTTTAAAATATTAAAAAAATTTAGGAAAAACAAAAAAAACGGAAAATAAGAATGTAGAATATTTTGAAAAGTGTTCTGAAAAATGAAAACAAGCAAGCTAATTGCAATTATCAGTACAAGAGTTAGTAAATTGTGTGAAACCAGAGGAGGAAAGTGGCTATACTTGTTCCATAAACAAGGGTTACAAGTACGCCATGCAATTTGAAATGGGAATGGAGGCTGATTGTCCTTATATAGTGAAGAAACAACCCTGCTGCGAGAAGCCCAACCATATGATAATTTCTACGTAGTTGCTATATAATTTTTTTTAATGAAAAACATTAATTTTCATTCTAAATAATATTGTTGAATTTTTAATTTTTTGTATGTGTGTAATATGTAGTGGGCTTTGAAGATTGAAAATTTCAAAGAGTTGGCTAACGGAGATGAGATTGGACTTATGGATGCTGTTAAGAATCAACCTGTGGGTGCAACACTTTATATCACCCATGAATTACTAGAATACAAAGAGGTTTGAAAACAAATTTAATGATGTATTGTTTTATTAGTTTAATTGTTGTCTCTCTATATAATGTTCTTATGTTATATTGTTTTTTTAATTATTTTATTTTATGATTATGATTAGGGCATATGAAGGACCACTATGTGATTCAAAGGTAAAAGTTATTCAGTTGGGGAAGTGATGAAGTTGGGGAAGTGATGATGAGACTAAGAAAATTTTCTGGTGGATCAAGAACTCATGGGTCGTCAGTTGCTGAATCAATGGATTTGCAAAAGTTGTTCGGAACTCTAACCTTTCAAAAGGCAGTGCACCTGTTTTGTTTAGTGCATCATACCCTATTCTGTTTTGAGCTGAAAAGCCAAGTAACCAAGTAAATGGCATAATCTTCTCTTGTTTGGTTACTTGGCTTTTCAGTTCAAAATAGAATAGGGTATGATGCTCTAAACAGAACAGGTGTACTGCCTTTTGGAAGGCTAGAGTTCCGAACAACTTTTGCAAATCTATTGATTCCCCAACTGACGACCCATGAGTTCTTGATCCACCAAAAAATTTTCTAAGTCTCTTCATCACTTCCCCAACTGAATAACTTTTTACCTTTGAATCACATGGTGGTCCTTCATATATGCCCTAATCATAATCATAAAATAAAATAATTAAAAAAGCAATATAACATAAGAACATTATATAGAGAGACAACAATTAAACTAATAAAACAATACATCATTAAATTTGTTTTCAAACCTCTTTGTATTCTAGTAATTTGTGGGTGATATAAAGTGTTGCATCCACATGTTGATTATTAACAGCCTCCATAAGTCCAATCTCATCTCCGTTAGCCATTTCTTTGAAATTTTCAATCTTCAAAGCCCATTACATATTACACACATACAAAAAATTAAAAATTCAATAATATTATTTAGAATGAAAATTAATGTTTTTCATTAAAAAAAATTATATAGCATCTGCCTCCATTCTTATTCCAAATTGCATGGCGTACTTGTAACCTTTGTTTATGGAACAGGTATAGCAACTTTCTTCCTCTGGTTTCACACAATTTACTAACTCTTGTACTGATAATTGCAATAATTCTGTATATATTATTGACTAATTCAATAGTGGCAGCAGATACCATTGTTCAATGACAATCTATAAAAATAATAAATAATTAAATACAAATATTATAGTTTAAAATTATTTTAAAAAATCAAGAGTTGATATTTAATATTCTTACTGTAACCAGCTTGCTTCCGAACTTTGTTTAAAATTCCTTCTTCCATCCAATTCACATGGATACTAGGAGAATATGCACCCTATATAAAAAAAAAAAAAAAATTATGACATACTTCTGTTAACATAATCAATCATATAAAACTTCAACTAATAAGCACTTTATTTAAACTAAAAAATTAACATGATTTTGGTTGCTAAAGTATGCACATGGTGTCACTCTAATCCCTAAATGTGTATAAAAATGCTCTCCATATCAAAAGTTGTTCGAATTCATCATTATATTTTAGGGTATTTTTGGATGTTTTTGTTGGGCTCAATGGGGTGATCTTTTTGAGTTGTGACATATAAATCATAGGAAAAGAACAAAATCTTTATTGATAAGAATTGAGGTAAATTTTTATATAAAAACCAAATCAAAAAAGATGAAACGGGGAGTACTATAATTATCAAAGCAAGAACCTTCTTATCTCAATTAGGTTAGTATAAAAAGGCAAGCCCAATCATTTGTAGCACAATCTACCGGCATTGGTAAAAAGAATTCAACTAACATGGAACTAAGAACAAAAGGAAAATAAGAAAAAAGGGGAAAGCTCTCAACCCACCACGGTACAACTCTAAACAAACCCGAAGTTCAGCAACCACATCGAAACAGAGCCATCCAAGAACGAAACAGAACCATCTAAGAGCATCGAAAGGTTAAGGGTCCAACCTAAGAGAACCCTTTGACCATTATTTTGTTGCAATCACCTTATGTTCGAAACATGTAGTAAATGTCTTGGAAGGATTTTATGAGGCATTAATTTGGATATCTAATATTTGTACTGCATGGATATAACCTTAAATTTAGAAAGTGTTATGTGATTGAATTCATGTATGCTTGTATGTTTGGGCTGTGCGTTGTGAGGCTAGGATATTTTTTTGAACAGGCTGTTTTGCTTAGCAAAGCAACAACAGACATGGCTTTTTTGATGAAAACTAGTAATGAAATTAAGTTTCATTCTTATAGGTGAGGAATCGGCAAAATATAAAGGTAGCGTTTGGTTGTGTTTTCAAATTGTAATTCCAATCAAAAAAATTTTAAACTTATAATTAAACACACAATTCAGAGCTTAATTCAAAAATTATTTTCAAAATTTATAACCAAATAAACAACTTAAAACCAGCGGCAGAGGGACATAGGGGTGAGGAGGGCCATGTGCCCCCCTGACTTTTCAAATTTTTTTTTTTTTTGGGTGTCTTAGCTTACACACAGTCTTGCCCCTCCTATACACAACACTCCCAATTTTACCCAAACACACTAACACATGCACCCACATTTTGTTTTGTTTTGTTTTTAGTCCCAATCCCAATAAAACATTGACACAACTGTTTTTGGGTGGAGTGCACATAACTCTAATTACGGCAAGGCTAAAACCTTTAAAGCGTGTGAAATTCTTTCTGTTTTTATTTATGTATTCACAGTACTTATTAAGTGTCTTCATATTTTCTGTCTTCTTTGTCTCCCTTTGTTGCTTTGCAATTTATCGACTCGCAATTTATCAGATTAGGATCACACACAACATAGATTTGGGACCACATTACAATCTTGGTATAGATTTGGGACCACATTACAACCTTGGTATCTTCTCTTCATTGTTTACAGATAACTTTATTTATTAATTTTTACTTTTAAATAAAAATTATGAGTATTAATTTATATTTATTTATTATTTTTTGCAATTTTATTTGTTATTATTTATGTTAAAATAAGAGATTTTGATGTGCTAAAATTATTAATTTTAATTGGTGGTGATTTATATTAAAATTAGGGATTTTGGTTTGTTGTTTGTGCTAAAATTAGGGATTTGATTTGTGCTAAATTTAAAAATATGAATTTGTAGTTATTAATACTTAATGATCAACTTGATACATATATTATCGATATGCTATCCAGTAGTGAGTTTTCAAGGTTGAATGAAATTGCCGATCTTACTAAGAAAATGGTGGAGACTGGAAAAGACAAAGTATATCCATTGGTGTATTTGCTCCACTTTAGCATTAGTCTTACCTGTTGCAGCTACTACTATTGAGAGAGTATTTTCAGCTATGAATATTGTGAAGAATCTGTTACGGAACAGAGTGGGTGATGAATGGATGAATGATAGATTGGTTGTCTACATTGAGAGATTTTTGATGGCATTGACAATGATACTATCATGGAAAAATTTCAAAAGATGAAAATTCGTCTGGGTCAACTGTAAAAGTTTAAAATTAAAATTTTTTTGTAATGAATATTAATTTTTTATATTTAATATTAGCTTGAAAAATTATTATTATGTTAATTGTTATTGATTGGGGAAGAAAATTTTTGAGAATTTAATTAATAAGTGCGCCCTTATATTAAATTTCTGGCTCCACCACTACTTAAAACTATTTTCAAAATTCAAAACCAAACTTTTTTCAAAACTCTATTTAAAAAAAAAAAAAATTCAAAAAAATATTTTATTATTTTATTATTTAAAATTATTTTTAAAATTATGATTTGAGTGTGGAGTCGTATTTTGAATTATGAGTTTTGAAAATAGAAAATTTGTTTAATTATGAGTTTTGAGGAGATTATTTCATTTATACCCTTATACTATTACACGATTTTCAATGATCCCCAAACTACTATTATTTTCATGCGTATCTCCATACTATTTAAGTTACTATTAATTTTGCCCCTGCCATCACATTTGAAATTTGGACTCAAATTTCAAAAGAAAGATGCAAACCCACAATTTCTTACCACCAACCACCACTTCAAGCCCTTTTATCTCCTTCGTTATAACCTCGTTTTGCTTCATTTTTACGTCGTTAGATTCAACTCGGCCTAGTTTTCACACGTCTTGTTCTTTCTCTTTTTGCATGTTATCGGAGCTCCAAAAATTGATAAAAAAAAAGAAAAGGTTTTTCTTTTCGTTTTCGATTTTTCTTCGAGCCATCTGTCGGACTTCATATGTTTTTCGATTCTTGACGGTTCTATTTCATTTTTTCACCATTCTCTTCATTTCATTTCCTACTTCACCCTACACTATCTCACTTTCTTACTTCATCGTGTAATGGGTGATTTTGTTATGCCGAAAGTAGTCCGAAAATTAATTTTGAAAATTTCAAAACATTCATCTTTTGTTTCTTTCTCCTCTCTTTTCCTCATTCTCATTCTTCTTCTTCTTCACTTATAACATGATGTGGAACATGGCTCTAGGTGGTAACAAAACTAGTGATAGTAGTGGTGGCGGTAATGTAGTTCGGTGGCAGGTAGTGATCTTCTTCTTCTTCAATTATCCATTTAAGCTTTTTCTTTATTTTAGTGGGAAAGATGAAAGAAAACACAATTCAATAATCATAATATCATATTTTCTACCACAAAGAGATCTAGAGAGAGAGATAGCGATTATTGCTATGTTGGTTGCAGAGGAGTATGAGAGGAAGGTGAAGAAATCAAAGACAAAATGAAAATGGGTTTGAAAGTGATCAAGCGATCAACTTATTTTCTGTTGTATCTGTCTTGGTTCGTAATCGGAGGAGGCTACATGATGATGATAAACCTTCTTGGATCATGATAACGATGAAGAATTTTGAGAAAGAAGAGAAGAAGAAGAAAATCATGGAGCTATTTAATTTCAACAGGGTTATGGAAATAGATTATTGATATGTATGTGTGTGTGTATATATATAGAGAGAGAGATATATATTTCTTCATCACCTTCATAACTTCACCAACATCATCACCCGAACCACCAACTTCACCGCCTCCGAACTTCATTACAGCCACCATTATCATTACCATCACCACCACCTTACAACACCAAACCCACCTTTTTCACAACCAAGTTCCATTACTGCCACCATGAGCATTACCATCACTGCCACTTTACAACACCAAACCCACCGCCATCACCGGATCGCCACTACCACCATTACCAGCTCCATTACCACCTAGAACTATGTTCTACATCATGTTACAAGTGCAGAAGAAGAATAAGAAGAAGAAAAAGAAAAAGAATTAGGAAGATGAAGAAGAAAGAAACAAAAGATGAATGTTTTGAAATTTTCAAAATTAGTTTTTGGACGACTTTCGGCATACCAAAATCGCCCATTACACCATGAAGTGAGAAAGCGAGGTAGTGTAGGGCGAAGTAGGAAATGATGTGAAGAGAATGACAAAAGAATAAAGTAGAACCGTCAAGAATCGAGAAAGATATGAAGTCCGAAAGATGGCTTGAAGAAAAGTCGAAAACGACAAGAAAAATCTTATTATTTTTTTTATCAATTTTTGGAGCTCCGATAGCATGCAAAAAGAGGAAGAACGAGACGTGTGAGATGTGATACGAAAACTAGACTGTGAGTTGAATCCAACGACGTAAAAATGAGGTGAAACGGAGTTATGTCGAAGGAGATAGAAGGGGTTGAAGTGGTGGTGGTCTGCTGGTAAGAAAGGGTGGGTCTGCATATTTCTTTTTAAATTTGGGGCCAAAATGTATTTTTTTAAATTTTTTTTCGTTTCAAATATGACGGCAAGGGTAAAATTGATAGTAACTTAAATAGTATGGGGGGTCATTGAAAATTGTGTAAATGTATAAGGGTATAAATGAAATAATCGTAGTTGTGAGTTGTATTTTGAGTTTTGAGATGTATTTTGAAATTTTTTGGATTTATTTTTTTTAAATATTTAAAAAGTTTCTTAATTTTTTTAGGGATAAATTGTGGTTGAAGAAAACTCATTAAGAAATTTTTAATTCTAATTTTTTGTCTTTTCAAATTCATAAACATAAAGGGAAAATTATAAACACTAGAACAAGAGTTGAGTTTTTGAATGGGTTAATACCAGAAATAACAGGTTGAAAAGGTGTCTAAGCCATTGTCTTGAAAATTTGTCCTGCATTACAAATATTTCATGCCTGCTGTTTTATATATGTTTCGATGAGTTTCTTTTTCATGTTTTTTTGACATCATAAAATTGCTGACACTAACATATGATTATTATTTGCAAAATCAGTAGGATAACTTCAGGACTACTGGTGTAAACTGCCATCCGACAAAATTCTGAATTGTGTTTCATGTTATGTTCTTTACTTAGAGCATGTCATTTAGGGATGTTAATCATAAATCATTATTTGCTTCATAGAACTTGTTCAGATTTCTATTGTTAAGCCGCTTTCATGGCATTCTTTACTTGGCATTTAGGGATTTTAATAGTCTTATTTCTTCCTAGAACTCATTTAGTTGGATCCTTGTGTGTTCCCTAAGTTGGTAATTCATTGCTTTTTTTAAACATATTGCTTATGTATTTGGCTTGTCTTAGAATCTTCCAGGTTACTGCTTCAAGTAAAAGATGGAGAAGGAGGCAGTTGGGTCCCCTCTTTTACCACCACCACCTCACCCTTGCAAGCACCTAAGTGCTGCCACCCATGCCACTAGGCCATAAGGAAGGCCATTGGCTTTCCCCTTTATTGTGTTTCTCAAAATTATCTTCCGCTAGAGGTACACAAAATTATTTTTTCTTTATTGTGTTTCTCAATCCCCACCTCCCTGGCCCTCCTTTTTTCTTTAACTCTCTTCCGCTACTTCCTTTCCTTCTGTACGAGATTTTGATGTTGTTTTTGTCTTGGTATTCCAGCTTTTTACCCCAATATCTCTTCAACGTTATACGAAGTATCTCATTAAACCAAACTAAAGTAGCTCATTACAGCCACATAACTTGGGTTAATTTTCCATTTAGCTGTGACCAAAGCATTTGCAATACTGCAGAATACAAAATTTCACCCAATTAGATATAACTCTGTAACAAAAAGATTGAGATATAGATAGTACTTATAAGACGGCAATATACAGGTTGAAGTTTGTGCTTAAACATCATGAGGAAGTAGTAAACTATAGATAGGTATCCAACAGACTGTGGATTTTAAAATTAGCATTTTGAAATTAATTTGTAAATAATTTGACAAAGACACTAAAACTATTTGAAAACCAACTAAATGCAAAAATCTGCAAAGCTTTGAGAGAATTCAAAGAAACCAGTTTTTGTTGGTGGAATTTGTTAAAGCTTGTTAAACCTTCTGAAATTATGATTGGAATTTTTCTTAATGATGTTAAAATAATAGCTTTTTGTAGGGACTGCTTATTTCAAGGTTCTGTCTTCTATTGTGATATATATTTTGTATTGTAATGAACTAATTTCAGTTGCCATAATATTTTTTTATTTTTAAATTTTTTTGGCTCTGGGGTTCATATATTCATATATTTTTTCCCTGTCATTTTGTTCAGTAGAGTTACTTTAGATTGCTAGAATAGGTGAATGCTGCTATTGACCTGACTAATGGGTAATTTATGATTGATTTTTTTGGGTATGAATAAACATAGGAAATACTTAAGTGGTAAGCAAATGAAAAGACGCAAAGACTTTACTGAACTTGAGTAAGACTCTTTTCGTTTGTTTTCATTTTTTCTCGCGGGCATCGGGCACACACGTAAACTTGTAGGCTTATATTGATCATTGGCAACATAACTAGACGACCTACAATTACAGATATTCTTCACCTGTGCTCGAAAAAACTGTACATCTCATGTTAGTCTTCTACAATCGATGTTTTATTGCCTGGGATGCTTGATTGTATTTCCATGGAATTTCTTTTTGTATTTTGGCACCGGTGTTTATAGTAGCGAAAAGATTGGGAAGGGAAAAACCCTTTTCTCTGTTGTTCCTTTGTATTTAAACCTTTATTGTGTTTTGCAAATATGGTGGATGGTTCACAACATCCATCAATTTCCCAGAAGATACATGGGCAATCTTATTTCTTATCTTGAATTTCTCCTAACTTGCGCACCAAGAATACTGGTTTACACAATATGACTGATGCATATGTAAATGGAGTTCAGCAGAGTCCTCTGCCACCAACATTCCAAGGCACTGACCTGGAATTTGCATTACCACTATCCTCTGTTTTTGTACAAAGCTCCCGCAGAAAAAGGTTTTCGTAGTTTTATGATAGACTTCCTCATGGGAGGAGTTTCTGCTGCTGTATCCAAGACTGCTGCTGCTCCGATAGAGTGCACTAAGCTATCGATTCAAGCTGGTCGGCTATCTGAACCATACAAAGGAATTTCTGACTGCTTTGCCCGAACAATTAAGGATGAAGGCATTATTGCTTTGTGGAGAAGCAACACTATCAATGTTATCAGATATTTCCCAGCCCAGGTTAGCTTATCTTTTGTTTATATTTGTTAATCTTGCCATTTCTTTTGTTTTAAATAATTTTGTCTGAACAATGTTACTTTTGATATTTCCCCAAGTATTTAGGGATTACATATTAGTTCTATAGTACCAGAATGCCTGTTTGAGACTTCATTTCATGTTATGTGTGCTTGAGCTTATATACTACAGTTTATATTTGCCTTTTTGGTGAGAAAAATAAATATGACATTGTTTTAATTATGTAATTGGCAATGTAACGTTGTGAGTGGTTTGTCGAATATAGCAATAGATACTACTAGTATAATTATTTTTGGATTGTGGCTTTGAGATATTTTCATCTTATTTTTTTGAGTAAGGTGGCTTTGAGATTATGATACATTTATATGGTCTATAACTGTTGTTGCTCATGATAACAACAAGTGATCAAAGTTACACAAGGTGGTTAAAAATTGTGATTAGCTTAATGCATGGTTGGCATGTGGATATGTAAATTTGAGCCATTTGTGTTTTTAGTTAAATTCTCAAGCTGCCATTAAATTCTCTCTTTCTTTATTTTTTTTTGGAGGAATTAGTTAAAAAAAAAAGTGGCGTTTTTGAAAAAACACTATTAAATGACGTCATTATGACGTCATACATTAGTTTGTGATGAAAGGTAAAACGGACGTCAAAGATTTTGCAGCGTTTTAAAAAACGCCGTCTAATATTTTTAGCGAAGTTTTTCAAACGTTGTAAAGCTATTGCGGCAGCCGTATTAGCAACGAAAATATTAAACGTCGATATAAGTTTTTATGGTATTTAAAAACACCGCTAAAACTCAAATTTTCTGTAGTGTCGAGTGATTTTGGAGGTGGTGCTAGCAGTGGAAACAACAAGGTAATTGCTTACCCTTTGTTGTTATTTTTTTATTTTTTATTTTATTTTTTTTTTGTTTTTAGTTATTGGTTTTGTATTTGGGAATTTAAAAAGTTTATAAATTTTGGATTTTTTTTACTACCTTATGGTGTGAATTAGGCTGTCTTGAAATTGTATTTGTCATCCCTATAGCGATTACACGTGTAAACAAAATTTGGTAAGAAAATGTGGTCATTCTAAATAAACACGGCTTGTCTCTGATTAATTTTTATTTTTATTTTTAAGGTTTCTCATGAACTTAGCTAAACCAGTGTATTAGGCCTGATTGCAAGAGGATATTGTTATCCTTGGTTCTCTTAATGTGAGGAATTTTTTTTTTTTTTTTTTAATTTCGGACTACATTTTCTTAGCAATCAAATGAGGAAACTATTTAGCTTCCTAAGGCAAAAACTTGTGCCCTACCTCGATTTTTATTGGTTTGAGTAGTGAGACCCACCACTTCTGAGACCACCAATGCTCTAAGACCACCAAATAGTCTCTCAATCCAATGGAGCAAGGCTGACATATTAGAGGCTTTTTTTGTGAGTTCTTAATGGATTATGGTTGTCTTTATTAGGGCATATTTACTATCGTTTTGGAGTTTTCTATCTTTCACTGGCCTTTTGTGTGGGTGTGGAGACAAGTATTTTCTAACATTTGCGAACGGTTTAGTTTCTTATTCAGGAAGCTGGAACCTTCATTTAATGAACAACAAATGTGTTGGCGTGAAGAGGAGAATAAAATCTTGTCATATTGTTCATCATATGTGTGGGTACAAAAATGTACAAAATGATTAGTCTATAAATTAATTTTATATTCTTAAAATAAAATATCAAATTTGTTTGACAGATAAATTAATTTGTTTAAAAATAACATTTTACGGCATATAAAATTATGTCATGAAAAGTGTAGTGATTTATGACATGCAAGAAAATGCCGTAAAAGATTATATACGGCATACAAAGTATGTCATAAATATATTAAAAATGACATTCTACGGCATACAAAATTATGTAGTGAAAAGTGATGATTTATGACATGTAAGAAAATATTGTAAAATATTATATATGACATACAAAGTATGCAATAAATATATTAAAAATAATCTTCTACGGCATGCAGGCATGACAAAAATGTCTTAAAAAATTATATACGACATACAAAGTATGTCATTAATGTTTAATTTATTACTTTTTACAATTTTACCAACATGTCGTATATGAAGCTCAACTTTTCACAGCATGTCATATAACGGCATTTGTGTGCATGCTGTGAAAGAGTTTTTATGACATGCATTGCAAGTCGTAAAAATTCAATTTTGTTGTAATGATGCTGGATCATGTGTTGCTTGAAATTTATAACTAGCAAGTTGCTAATTTATATTGGGTTGTAGCAATGAGTGTACTAGAGTCAAGGTTGCAAGCACTGATGTACTGGTTTTGATCACAAATAAATATAACCGAACAGCTAGAAGCTGTGCGCCCAATAAAAAATTGATGAACATGTGGCTGCTTTAGAAGCCATAATTTTGTGTTGGTCGCATGTTTGGGTTAATTACATGCATTTGATTGAAGATTTTGCCAAGGTAATATGCTCATGGAATCCGAAAGACGGAGCTATTAAGGGGGGTGCATTTGAGTTGAATGAATCTAGAATTAGAATTTTGTATTTTTTTGGGTGGTAGTAGGGTTGTGTTAGCTAGAGGCTGAACGAGTTCTTTGTTGATCTTTATAGCTTGGATATTGACTGTTGTGTGGGATTATATATTTATTTTATGAGCAGGGCAAAATTTATGTTATTTTTTGTGGTTTGAGGTTAGAGCACTTTATCTCCTTATGGTTCAAATATGGTCATAAAACTTCTATGTAATTTTGGATGAAAGTATAACCGTTAACTATAGATGTAAAATGACTATCATATTTTCAAATTCTATATATATATATTTTTTTGTTATTCTCTTTTCTTTTATCTCTCATACACATAATTTATAATGTTTAATATTAATTCAATTAAATCACAATTAATTATAAATTTTTAATTTTTTATTGTAATTCTTAATTTATTTTATATTTCTATTTAATTATATTTTAAATCAATTCTCAATTATATTTTATATTTTAGACCAATTCTTAATTATATTTTGATTTAATTTAATTTATTTTAATTAACACATTAAAATCTAATTTTAGGTTTGGAGAAAATAGGGGTAAAATTGTCTTTTTGTTGTATTAATTTCACTTTAATTTTTCAGAAAATCAAACCCACTCTAAAAAATGGGGTGTGTAATATATTTTTCGTTAGTTTGGATGAAAAATTTAACGGTAGCACTTTAGTCTAAAATTACATGAAGACTTTCTGGCTATATTTGAACTATAGGGGGTAAAGTGATCTAGTCTCAAATCACAAGGGGGTAAAATGAATTTAACCTTTTATGAGTGAGTGTTGAATTCTTTATAGTTTAACTGACACTTGTTGTTTGTTTGTGATTGTAGGTATGGCCTTTCTTTGAGGAGGTTTTTTGTAATAAAAATAATTTTGAAAAAAAATTGGAGAAAAATATATTCATTGATTGCATTGTCTAATTTTTTTGGGGGAAATTGCTTTAGTGAAGTTGTGAAGAGATAATTTCATTTTCATGGTGGTGCAAGACTCTGGCCGCATGTGCGTAAGCCCTTCACCGAACGTGCTGGAGCCCTTCGTCGCACATGTGCGATCTACTGCAGGTAGAAATCTTAATTTTGCTCTCATCTATCACACCTGTGGCCAAACTTGTCGCACCTCCAGAACCCCTGCTGCGCATGCGGTTACTTGTCTAGAAATCCAAAAGCCACTGCACTAAACCACACATGCAGGCCTTACGTGCGATGATCTGCTCAAAAATCCAAAAGTCACTGCACTAAACCACACGTGCAGGCCCTACCTGCTGCACGTGTAGGAAGGCTTGGTGTTGCTCAAGGCATTTCTACACTCTTCTGTTTCGTCCTTGATAAGTTCAAATATACGAGCTCAAGTCAGGTCTAAGACCTGGGACATCACAATATGAGTGCCTTTTCTTCATAAATTATATAGACTTAGTATCCGAGTGTTTATATTAGATATAGGTGGTGAACACATATCCCACACTATTACCTTTGTCATATCCGGCAAACACGGGTACACTAGGTGAAGTAAAAGAGTTCATGTAACACAGTGTGTAATACAATGTTCTATAATTGTTTTTTTGGGTGAATAAGTCATAAAATAAATACAAAAAATTTACACATTTATAAGGGTATTTCCCAGGTAATAGAACAAATCTTTCATTTTTTTTTTCCCAAAGTGACTCCTACCATCAAAGATAATAGATGGAAACTTAGAGAAGATATATGAGCAGGTATACAAAAGAAAACCACATAAACTACATAAATACAACTGAAGCACATGCATAAGTAGAAGTAAACAAGCTAAGGCATCTACATGTTCTATAATTGTTTTGCATTTTTTAGAATGCAATTGCTATGTGAATGATATATTGATGTATAAAATACGCTGTGTTACATATATATTTTTTTTATCATCTTTGATTAAATCATTCATATATATGACATATACTAAATTTGTAAGAACATAAAATTTTAAGGTGTCTCAAGCATGTTAAGTCTTGCCCTTCTTTTTTTTTGAATAAAAAAAATCGTCGTGTCATCGTGTTTGTGTTGTGTATGTGCTACTTAGGAATGGCCTTTCTATTTTCAGACCGCAAAAGCATCTATGGTACTTCAGCCTTTAAATCTACTAAATTTCAATGGATTTATATTACTCTCGTCTCAAATCTTCCTCCTTTCGAAATAGGAATATGTCTTATCTTTAATTTCTCTTTGCAATTGTTGAATTTCATCATTCATCCTTGCTTTCTGTCTCACTGTAGCACTGTTTGCTATCTACCTAGCAACCCGTTTGTGAATATTCTTCTCAACTGAGAAGCATTCCGTAATATCAACAATATTCATTTGTTTCATCTAATTCTCCATTCTCGACTCAAGTACTCTTAATATTTAGATCTAGTTTCATATTCTTGTTGTTTGACAATTACCATATCTCTCGATTATCATTCACTTATATCCTATTTTTTGCTTTTTCATAGTTCAAGAAATTTACGTTGGTAGAGATTTGGAAAGGGAAATATGAAAGGTAGGTGAAATGTGTTACATTTCACACACATTTTCTTTTTTTCTTTCTAAATTCTTTCCCAAATTCATGAATAAAACACAATTTTAGAGATTTCTAATTTGAATTCTCAATAGAGAAAGCTCATGCAATACAACAATCACCTTCAGAGCATCATTCTTAGCTTGCATTTTAGGAAATACAACTTCAAAATTCGATAAACTCACTTGTAAAATGGTGCAGTGAGTTTATTGTAACAATTTGCTCGCACTAGAGATTAGGTTGAAAGAAAATTTACAAATAGAAGCGCTCTCATTTTTACTCTTTTTTTTTTTTTTTTTTTTTTTTGAGAAGTTTTCATCTGGTAATGCTATAATGTTCCATTTAAGTCTGGACTTCTGAGAAATTACTGATAGATGAAATTCTCTCAGCATCCAGAGTGAAGATTTTTGCCAATACATCAATAGTCCGATTGTGAAGCTTTCAAAACCTTTAAATCAAGATTCTGAGCATTCAATTCTAGTAATTCAGCATTGAAACGTGACACAGGATCTTGATTTCCATGGGAATTAGCGATAGTATACATCCAATATTCATTTTATACATTATTTATCAATAAGAATGATATTGCAATATATATTTATATATATATTTGGGGAAATATAACTTCATTAATAATAATAAACAACCTTCAAAACAGTTCCAGTACAATATATCAGTACAATATATCATTTTCAAGCAAGAAAGAAATTAAACTAAATAGCACCAAATTGCTAGATAAAACTAAAACCACCCATAAAACTAAACCAACCAGTTATTGTAAGTTGCCTTAATGAAGATCAAGTGACAAGATTTCCACAAACAAACAGCTGCTACAACTTGCACAAAAACCAATTAAAAACAAAAGAACTTATCTCAAAGAGAGAGAACGAAAAATGCACAATTGACTAGTGAAGGAGTCTCCGAGGGACTTGAAATAGGCATGGATTTGTACACCTGTCTTCTATATGTTGCCTCATTTTTCGTTTTTTATAGTCAATAACATTTTTTATGGTGTTTTTGGTTTAGATCTGACCCATTTGACTTTTGGATTCAAGTTTCTTTTACTTATACAGTTGTTTGCCTTGTTTTCCCTCGTATCTCTGAGTTTGGCTTTGGGAAGTATTGTGTGCGTTTGGAATATGTTGGTAGCTTGTTTTTCGAACTTTTGTTGTCCAAATTTTTGTTTCTTCGCTCGAGCGAAACTTGTACTCGAGCGATTTTTGTGAACTTCCAGTATTTTTGCAGGTCTGCAAGACTACTGTGAGTTTGTATTCTTTACTTGAGCGAAGCTTCTTGTGCTTAATCGATGACCTCAGTTTGCAAAATTATTAGGAGTGTGTATTCTGCGTTCAAGTGAAGTTTCTTTCGCTCGAGTGAAACAACTTATTGTGTCTGGTCGCTTGAGCGACACATCTTGCGCTCGAGCGAACTGTGCATATATTAGTTCGTAAAATCACTTTTCTGTGTCACTTTTTCACCTCTCTAAACATTTCAAATCCCTATTTTCGCTTACTCTCTCTCTAAAACTCACATATTTTTCTCAAATACACCTAGACCCGTCGATCTTTGCCCCTCGTGTGCCTTTGTTAAAAAGATAGAGCTCGGTGATGGCTTCATTCTAATCACAGTAAAGTTGGTTTTGGCATCTTTGGGTTTCCATCTCTCTTTCAATCATCTTCTAAGCTCGAGATAGGGATTCTTCGCACTCTTGTATGAGTTTTATCTTAGTTATTTTTTATTTCAAAAGATTATAGTGGTTTGTGGGTTTTGGGTAAAACCTAGGATTTGAAATCAAAATGAAATAGAGGAATTTTCAAATAGTTTCTTGGAAAAGCTTATACATGCGAAATTAGAGTTGATATATGTTGAAATGAGGTATTTTCTACATTGAAATTGATTTTCAAAGAGAATGAAATTTTGCCCTAAAATGTGAATGTTTGAGATTGTAAAGAGAACATGGAATTGATGTTGAAAATTATAAAATTGAAGTAATGTTGATGATGATGGCGGTGTTGGATATGTATTATCACTCTCATCTTGAGATTTTGAAAAAATGTAACTATAATGAAATTTATTTATCTATTTAGAGAGATCTATTTTAGGCTCTCGGTAGAAGATATCTATGAGTGTTGTAGAAATTTCTTGAGAATTAGATGAATTAAAACTAATTTCTCATCCATGTGCATTGAACATTGTTGCTCATTTAATACATTGAAAATGTATATGATTTTGAGAAAGAGGGGTGAACGTGAGAAAGAGGTGTACATCACAAAATCAAGTTAGCCTGTGTATC